GGACTTAGTCGTGACCAAATACATCAGCACTACTACTGCTTAATACACGTTATCATGGCAACGATAACCTCATTTTTTTATTCAGAGATCTTACAGAAAAATTGAAAATATATTTATATAAAATTGAACAAGAGAGATGGGAATCAAAAGAAGATCCAAAAGATCTCTGCTTTTTGAGACTTTTAACTGAAATAGTAAGGTTTTCAGAGGCGGTAATATTGAAGACGACGACGACTGTGAAAACCCTCCGGCGAGAGAAGAAACCGGCGGAGATTTTTTATTTTATTTAACCTTTTGGTATTTTTTTGAGTTGAGGTTTTCGGACAAGGTAGCGAGAATTTAGACAATCCATTTTATATATTTTTTAATACAAAAATAAAATTGGGGGAAAGTGAAAAAGGAGAAGAGGAGGGTAGTTTTGGAAATTCAGGAGGCTAGGTAAGGAACGCGGAAGTAAAGGGTATTTTGGAGATTTTCTCAATAAAATTATATAATATGTTGATTTTTTGGGTCGCGATATTAGGTTGATTTAACGTGTGTTTTGTATACACGGTCCGTCAAAAACGTCAATCACGCATATGTTATGAGGAGCAAGTAACATCGTTTTAACATTTAAAGATAATTAAAAACATAAAATAATAACGAATTAATTGACTTACTAATGTTTTCAATCCCAGAATGAAAACTGAACCGAACAAATCAACTGAAAAACTTGGTCGAACCAATAAATAAAGTTTTAACATTACGCGGTTATATCCTAAACCAGAGCAAAAAGATAACCGACTCAAATTAGAAACCTTATCCAAAACCGAACCAATACTTCATTCGGATTCAGTTTCAACCTAACCTGAAAAGCTCAAGACCCAAAAGCTTTTAAAACTAAGAAACTTCAAAAGAGAGACTAGAGTCAGTATACCACCAAACTTTTAACAAATCTTACCCAAAAGACTCCATTGTTTTGTTTTAAGAGTAATGGGACTTCATTGCTTTGTTTCTTCAGAAGTGAATTCCTAGTATACGCCAATTCTTATGCATGTTTTCACTCACCAGGAGCTCGACTTCGCAACTGTACATCTCGTTGAGCTCTTCAATCATCACCATGACGCGTTCAGCCAATTCAGGGTTGTAATTAAGCTCTGAATCACCGTCCTCTTCGGTATAGATGATCATCTTCTTCAGACGCGGAAAATAGTCCAAGAAATGCTCAATCATGTTCATCTCTTTCATTGTTCCTGTAAAATCTTCAATCTTTATCATTTCTACTGGAGATGAAGCGAGCGAACGGCCTTTGTCCTTCCGATATATGCAGTCACAAGCATCACCGCATTTATCGGTCACATGGTGCACGAGACCCTGAAAGCAGAAGGTGGACCCTTTCACTCTATTTTATTATATACGACAATTAAGCAAGTATGAAACTGCATCATGTTTTGTCTTAAGTAGTTTCATGGCTTATAATTCTACCTGAAAGATTATAACTTTTAAATTTGGACAATTCCTCAGAAGAACTGGCATTGCTTGCCATCCTCGATCCTCCAAACTCTTGATACATAACATTTTGACATTGTTGAACACCGGCATCGATTCAGAGCATAGATAAAGCACCTGAAAACAAGAGAAAAACAAAACTAAACATTTTGATAATTAATATAAACTAGACCAGAAAGAACAAAATAGAGAAACTGACCTCGAGAGTATCAGAATGCAAGCGAAGTTTCTGAACATTTTGTATGCCATTCATGAGCTTCACCAAATTGCCAAATCGGAGAACGACATCATTCCCTAACAAATCATTATCTGGCGCTCTTACTCGCTTAATCTGATCATCAGTTACCATAAAAGCAATACGAGCCTCAACTAAATTTTTCATATCAACGACTGAATAGTCCTCTGCAACGTAATCAGAGTAGCGGAAAGAAACCAGATTCGGAGTATCAAAAGAAATGCTCTTTGGATTTTGAAAGGGGTTCGAGCCACCTGCGCTGATACATAGCTTTCTGAGGGTTGCACTTGACACAGTTACATGAGAATCTATCCACTGCCTAAGAGTCATGTGTAAGTCCTCAAGCACAGGGAAACAAGGAAGAAGCGTCTCAATCTTACTATCACAAACCCAACCAATATCAAGACATTTAAGCATTGGTAAGAAAGTGCCTTCACTTCCAATCCACCAACTAACATCAAAGTCAAACACACTTCTTACTTTCAGCTTGACTAGTGTACTACTCACAAACAACTCTCGAGGCAGATAATACTCTTCTTCGAAATCGAGACAAAGATCAAGCTCCGAAACACCACGAGCAAGCACATTACATATCCATCGATTCACAGCATGTGGACAAACACCAGTTTGACACTTGATTGAGAATCTCTTAATGGGAGAATCACCTTGCAAAGCCAAAACTCTGTCCACAAAATCCATGAAACTATGCATAATTCTTAATGTGAGAGTCACATTACCCTCTTCGGGATGAAGAAAGACAGAGTCATCAACGTCGAGACTAGGGACGAGTGCGAAGAGATTACGCCACTTCTTTGAGAGAACCGATGTCAAAGCAGCCTCCTTTGTGGTGAGAAAGGATAATACATGAACACGAACATCCTCTGGTAGACCGCTCAAGAGATCCATCTTCTTCTCTGCAGAAAAATACAAAAACAAAATCGAAAACTCAAACAATTTACCAAACTGGTAAGAGCGGTCGATTCAAACATGCAGAGAAAATCTAGCTAACAGAGCAAAATTGGTTCTGAGAATGTGAAAGAGACCAAAAGATATGAGTTAAACTTTGGTACCAACAGAGGCCAAGTCCAAGACGAACCCTGAAAAATGCAAATTTTGGCAGCACTTTCACTCCAAATTAGGGCAACGAATGGTTTTTTCAACTCGCGTTTTGTGGGAAGAATGAGACTAGACGGAGTGGAGAAGCTAAGGGTATTTTGGAGATTTTGTCTTAACGTTTCGCAATATTACGCATGCGTATATTTCATTCAATCCCAGAATGTTAATTGAACCGAACAGATCAACCCACTAAACGAATTGAACCGAACCAATTTGTAGATAAAGTTAACAATTACGCGGTTCTGTCGACATCAAACCAGAGTAACCAATTACTTTCTCCACATCTGATAAACGAAACCCGGTCCAAAACCGAGCAAACCAAAGATTCAATCAGTTGGAATTTTTCTCAAATTAAAGATATGATACGAAACCTTAGCCCAAACCGAACCAAACCACATTCGGCTTCAGTTTGATATATAAATCCTAACCTGAAAAGCTTAAGGCCCTAGCATAAGTCAAATCAACAGCCTTTGAGACTTGACAATGTGTGTATGGGTAAAAGGTCTTCAAGACAAGACACGAGTCAAAGGATTGGAGACTGTGGAATTGGGTTGCCAGCAGTCGCATCTGCAAATACTCTGACTTCCTTTCACCAGTCGCTGCGACCTTCTCGTATGAAGCTTCATGTTCACCACTTTACCTGATATCTGTTTGTTGCAACAACAATGTCTAAGATTTTCTCAAAAAGCCTGTAGTTGTGTTCTCATTTTCTCACAATATCAACATTGGTTTGTGATTATTATGAATGCTATAGAGATTAGTAATAGCAAGAAGGTGTAGAATTGAGGTAGCTACTCACCATTCTCCATGTCAAGTCCTCTGGACCTAAAGGCTGAGCAGGGCTGGAATATAGGAAATGCCGCGAATACTGGAAACGACAATGTAAACAACTTGTAAAGGCCTTTTCTCGTGTGGGGAACTATGAAACATTTTGTAGAATTGGTGATTTTGGTGAAGCCAAAAAACAGTTACCTGAGCTAGATTCCTCTGTAATCCCTTGACGTGGGAGGGACTAAGGCTCCTCAGATGATTCACAAGCCAACCAGGCTGGGTAGCATCACCGGAAGAAACAATCACAGCAATCTGAGAGAGAAATAAACGGAGGAGATGAGTTTAGTTATAGAAACTCTTGGGTATGGTTATAGAAAGCATTAAGTTAAGGGAGATTTCAGACATATACCTTCCTGTAGTCAAGCAGTCCTTCAAAAGGGAACTCCAATTCATCACTAACTACCACTGGTATGCATCCACTGACGATGGCATCAAACAGCCTCGCAGAGGATGGTGTGTCACCAGCAGGACACAGACAAAACAACGATCTGATAGAAGATACATGTAGTTATAAGAAGATAAGAGGAGGGAGAATATGTATCACAGAAATGATCATGAAACATCTCAGATTTTACCTGCGCATGCCATTTTGAGCAGCCAATTTCCCTTCATCCCCAGCTGTTCCCTCTGTAATGCTCACATCTTTAACACTGCTCAATTCTGAGCCGAGTTTGGCACGCACTTTCCCTCCCTATAACAACAGTTTGATGACTCAATCAGTGAGACATAGGAAGCATTGTCATCACACACCAAGGATAAGGAGAACTAAAAATGCAACTCATGAACGCATTTAACAAAGTACTTCTAGTTGAATGGGAAAAAAGTTGTTACTGCATGAAAAGCAATATCAACTCGATGGTATCAACAGAGTGACTTCTAATTCAAAAGCATCAATGCCCTTAACAGATTTTCCTATGAACAACCAGCAAAGCTATCCAAAGAAACGGAGTGATCTTTGTATACAAATAACACTAAGCAAAGAAAAGTGATAAGGTAGAAGATCGCATGAATCTCACAGCGTTCCTCTTAAGGCGGCCTCGGAAGAAAAGAAGTGTGGTCCTCTTTGATGAATTCTCTGACAGGCACTTGGCATCGCAAAGGTCCACATTGGGGACATAAGGAAGAATTAGGTCTTTCTCCAGAGAAACTTGCCCAGGCTTATACCTGCATTTTCAAATTCACACAGAAAACCAGTAAAGCATATAGCTAAAAAGGGCATTTTCAATGACTCAGAAACTATAAAGGGGAATCTTTAATCACCAGTTCCCAGTGGAGTCCAAATCTGGCAAAAGCCATATTGCATTTTTCACATATTTTCGGACAGTCTTGAACGACCATGGATGGTGAATAGGAAGTATGTGATCCCTTCCCTCTGACCTTTTCCATGCAGGCTGATCAGTGATCCACTTCAAAGCATCCTACAGTTAATAAATGGCCAAAAAGAACGTCACCAGTAAAGAACCAAACTCCATGTTCTTCCAACGATAATTGTATCAACTATTGAGGCAAGTTTAACCTGAATCTTCAAAGAACAGATAAAAAGCCATGTTTAACTAAACACATCCAATATAAGAAATCAGAATCACCTTCAGCCGCCAGTAACAAATCACTAAACAGCATTTGAGCTACAAACAACCTAACATTTTTCAGGCACTTGAAGATGAGGACTACAAAGTAACAAAACACATACAATTGAAAACAAAATGTAATAGCTGTAATGTAGCTCTGAATCTCACTCACACCCTATAGAGTGCTTTGCATTGCTGCTTCTCCAACAAGAAAAAGCTGATTGTCGTGAAAAACGGAACATAGAAAATGTCTGCGTCCTGCTGCTGATTGACCCTCACAACACTTTTCAAACGCCTTTCAGATTCAGGAGCAATCAGATCAGCCCAGAGCCAGTAATCAATCGAATGCTGCAATTTAGAAAAAAAAAAAGTTAATCAGCCAAACAAACTAAGTAGGATCAATTGAACAAGATCAACCAGCCACATGAACAAAATCATTCGTTCCAAGCTTCTTAAGCACTTCCAGTAGTAGACATTTCGATTTCCAAAAGTTTCTATCAAAATTCATATCCTAAGAATGCTAGAGAAAGAGACAGTATTACCTGCTCGATTAAGCGATGCACAGGGCTGCCATTAGAGGTGAGATTCGAGGTCTCTTTGTAAGTATTGTGAAACAACCAAAGAAGATCGTAAGTAAACTTCCTCGGCATCTCGTAAACGTAAACCTTAACCGGATACCCCACGGGAGCATCGTTCAACAACCGATTCTCTCTCTCAAACACCATTTCATCGAGCTTCAAAGCAAGCTCTTCACTCTTTCCACGCACCGTGTCATCCCTAACCGATGACGAAAGCTTCGGCGCCTTATGGGTCAAAAAATGCTCCAACGAAGCCACGAATGATCTCTCCGTCCGCGTCGTCGGAATCGAATAGAAAACCGAGGTGCTTCCGGACGGAAAGAAATTGTAGCAGAAGAAGAGAGCAGCGACGGCGAGGACGACGAGGAAGAGATTGGGAATTAAGCCTCTAGGTCTAGGTCTGGAAGAAGAATGATGATTCTGCATATTTCCAGGCATTGGAAGATCTGATTTTTCGTTCAAACTTCTCTCTGTGACTCGTAATTGCTCTCAGATGAGAAGAAGCTAGCGATGGCTTCTCCAGTCCGACGCAGATCGGAAAACTGTAGAAGAAAGCGTGGGCTTAAGATAGTAGTTGATTTTAAGTGCGCAAGATAGCAAGGTGATTTTAAGTGTGCAAGATAGCAAGGTGATTAACTCCACATATTTGTGTGACTGTGTCATAAACTATCTAATTTTTTTGATATAAACCAATCACACACAAGTCAACTCAAGTTTTAGTTTAATTACATAGAGACTGTTTATTCATATTCCCAAAGACCAAACACCAATACATTAGAGTTTTCTCACTAAGAAAGAAAGAAAAAAAACATATCAGAAGCGCATAAGATCTTCTTGTTTAGGCGATTGTTGTTTCTTCGGGTCATTTCTAGAAGCAGTAGTAGCATCAGATGAAGTATTACCGACGCCTTTCTTGCCGAAT